AGCTGACTTCAGAGCCCAGTACAATGGAGTAGCTAGCCTCAGAGCACTCTACCGTAAAGTAGCTGGCATCAGAGAGGCCTTTACAGAAGAGTGGCTGGCGTTAGAGGCCACTGCAGTAGAGTTGAATGTCTCAGAGGCCCCTATTGTAAAATATTATCTGCAGAGGCCCCTACTGTAGAGTAACTGACTGGCTGACTGGCCTCTACTAAATAAAAACTGGCCTTAGAGGCTTCTACTGTGGAGTATTTGGCTTCAGAGGCCTATGCTATAAAGTTGCAGACTTCAGAGGGCTTTAGAGTAAATTAGCTGGCTTTACAGGCATCTACAGTAAAGAATAATGCATCAAAGGCCTACACAACAGAGTAGCTGGCCTCAGCAACCTTTACCTTAAAGTAGCTGGCCTTGGAGGCCTCTACCGCAGACTATTTGGTCCCAGAGTCCTCTACCGTAGAGTAGATGGCCTGTTAAGTAGATGGCCTTAGAAGCCTCTACCGAAAAGCAGCTATTATAGATGGTCTCAGATGACTTCACTGCAGAATATCTGGCCTCAGCGGCCTCCATAGTAGAGTAGGTGGCCTCAGAGACCCCCAGCTGGCTTCAGCAGTCTTTACCTTAAAGTAACTGGCCTCAGAGGCCTTTACAGTGCAGTAACATGCCTTAGAGACATCTACTGTAAAGTAGCTGGCCCTAGAGACCTCTACCGTTAAGTAGCTGACATCGGAGGTCTCTAATGTAAAATAGCCGGTCTGAGAGGCTGGGCTCAGACACCTCTAATGCAGAGTAGCTGGTTTCAGAAGCCACTTCTGTAGAATAGCTGGCATTAGGAGCCTCTGCTGTAAAGTAGCTGGCAAGTCATAAAACCCTTTAAAACATTTATGAATTGTCCTTATTTATGTGGTCTATTGGGCCCTTTTAAAATACCCTTCAAAATCAACGTTTATGGGGTTCCACAGCCTTTGGAATTTTTGTAAAAAATTTGGCTTAATGCGGCTTCAGTTCCTTTAAAACGTATCCTTTAACAGTCCACGCTAATAAGTCTTAAAATCCATTAAAACATTTATGAATAGTCCACATTCTTCGGGTCTATAGGGCCCTTTAAAAATATCCTTAAAAATTAACGTATAAGGAGCTGCTTTGGAACTTTTGATTATTTGGATTTGAAACACATCCTTAGAAATTCCAGGGTTATGAGTCTTAACTTCCTATAAAACATTTATGAATGGTCCACATTATTGGGTCTATAGGGCTCTTAGGAATATCCTTTCAAATCTACTTTTATCGAGCTCTACATCCTTTGGAGCTTTTGTAAAAAATTTGGGTTTATGCGCCTACAAGCCCCATAGAACATATCCTTATAAATTTCAGGATTATGAGATTTAAAATCGTTTAAAAAAATTAATGAAAATTCCTTGCAAAATATCCTTTAAAATCGACCTTTATGGGATTCTACATCCTTTGGAACTTTTGTAAAAAAAATTACCGCAGTCACTGTGAAACATATTCCTTAAAAATTCACATTTCTGTAATCTAAGATTTTTTTTTTGCCTTTAAAAACCCTCGTTTATGGCACCAAAGACCCTGAGGAAATATCTCATAAAAATCACGTTTATGGACCTAAGGGTCCTTTGCTAAATATTCTACAAAATTCTAAATTTTATTTAAAAAAAATAATCTTTTGAAAACTATTCCCTAAAAGACATTTGATAGACCCTCAAAATATCCTAAAAAATGCAAGTTACAAATAAAACGAAAGTGTTCTTAAAAAATCCCGAAAATTTTTCGCCCTTGAAAAATGTTCTTAAATTTTAGGTTCTTGGAAAAAGGTTCAAATGTCGCTTAAAAATCTATATTCTCTATCTTCTCTCCCTACGTCCCTGCCACCAACATAAACTCCTCCATTGACGATAGTACAAATGTATTTAGCTGCTTGAAGGAATAAATGAGTGACGATGTGAGTGTGGGTTGCAATGAATGAAAGTCTGTCGCTCGCAAAAAAAAAGGAAAGGAATGCTAAGGAGCGCCTCAAGCTAGAAAAAAGGTCACAATCCTTTATTTACTTAAGAATGAAGAATTTATCAAGAAAATTAGTGTATGGAGGGAATTCGCAGAAATTTTGAATGTCTAGTTGTTTTTTTTTGCAAGTTTTTCTAGTTAATGATATGAAAAATGAATTTTGGCTGTGGTAGCAACAAAATTAGCAAAAATAGGAATTTTTCGGAAAATGTTTTTTACAGAGTATTCCTGTAGATTGACCTCTTATAGGATTTTTAATGAAAATGAAAAAATTGAAATTACGGTGGCGTATAATTAATATTAATTACAAGGGTCCAGGTTGCGTATACTTAATAAGCTCTTTTTCTATTTTATATTGAGTATACGACCAATTAGATCGTAAACTAATTAGATTAGATAGAAACCCAAGGATTTTTAAAATCTTACCGGTATTCCATTTAAAAATAAACGATTTGAGATCGAAGTGTCCTCCAGAAAATATCCCTGAAAATGTCTATATTTATGTCCAATGACAATGTTAGGTCTTGGAACCTAAAAAATACTCAAATAAAATATTCAATAGGGCTCGTAACCTATTTTCCAAAAATATTATTGCTATCTAATAAAAAAAAGTCCGACCCGAAAATCCTACAAAATCCATCATTTGAAGCCAGAGAGTCTCTTCAAAATATTTTTAAAAAATAGAAGTTTTGAAGTCTAAGGTCAAATTCTATATTTCGAAAGTCTGTTGGTCCTTCGGAAAAAATGTTTATTTTGAAATCTGTTTGTCATTTATTTTTTAAAGTCATTATTTGAGGCCTAAGAGTCCTGGAAGCATCTAAAATTTGTGCTTTCAAAACAATGCACTATTTAATGTTTTAGGTCCTTGGCCCTTCCAAAAATGTATCTGATTCAGGGTTAAAGGCACAAAGGTCTAAAAACACAGCATTTGAAAGCTGTTGAACCTTCCCAAATATTCCTAAAAATTAGTTTCGCAGTTATATCTTTGGCTTAGAGAACCTTAGGCCATTTGAAAATAATTAAAAACATTTTTTTTTGAACTTAGCCCTTTCAACAAATATTACAATTATTATTGGTTTTTTAAATCTATATCGTTTGAATCCTATAACCATAGGGAAATTTTTCTCAAAAAAAAAAAAAAAAAAAAAATACGTTTGAAGGTATTTTTGGTCTCATAAAAAAAAATATTCCTAAAAAATCAAGGATTGGGGCTTTGGGGATCCTTGCAAAATGTTCGCAAAAAATCCAAAGTTCGAACCTTTTTCGTCCTTTGAATAATATTTTTAAAAATTTACTTTTTGATGTCTGTTACGCCTTCCACAAATATTTAAAAAAAAAATGGATTTTAGATATTTTAATTTGTGGAACAACATTTGTAAACAAGTCAACCTTCTGAATTCTTTTGTTAAATAAATTAAGAGCCTTTTGGCTGCTTGAAAAAATATTTTTACAAATCGACGTTTAGAGGACAGTTGATCCTGTGAAAAATATTTTTTTAAAAAAATCCACATTTTTAGTTTTTTTTTTGTCCCTGAAAAGGACTTTGAGGGACTTTTATGGAACAACTCTGAAAATACTCGATAGAAGCCCTATGTAGACCTTCTTTGAAGATCTTTGAAGGTCTCTGATAGAATTCCTTTACAAGGCTTCTGAAGGTCTTTATGGATGATTTTTGAAGGCTGTCTAAGAGGCCTCCTATTGAAGCCCATTAAAGACCTTGGGTAAAATGTCCTTTAAGGCCTTAAATTGATATCTTTAAAGGTGTACTATAGACGCTTTTTCCATGCCTACTAATAAAGTTTAAAAGGCCCTTTGAAGGACTTCAATTACATATTTTTGTTGGTCTTCTAAAGAAGCCGCATGTAGACTTTTTAAAGCAGCTATCTAGAGTCTGTGATAGTATCCCTTAAAAGGGTTATATTCTTTTTAATAGGCCATCGAAGTTCTTCTATAGAAGGCCTTTAAAAGTCTTCTCTTAAAGATTTTTAAAAGAATTTAAATATGCCACTGTAGCCTTTGAAGAACTTTGGTTACTGAGCTTTAAGGCCTTATATTGAAACCCTATTGACAGAAACCTTTTCCAGACCTTTAATTAAAGACATTTTAAGGACCTTCCATTTAAACCCTTTAAGGGAATTCTTTTGAAAAAAAAGAATAATAATAGAATAACTTCGGTTACTGAGCTTTTAGGCCTTATATTGACACCCTACCTATAGAAGCCTTTTCCAGACCTTTGATTAAAGTCGTTTTAAGGACCTTCTATTGAAGACCTTTGAATGAATTCATTTGAAAATAGAATACTTTGAAGGACTTCCATTAGAGGCTTTTAAAGGCCTTCCATTGAAGATCTCCGTTGAATCCTTATTAAAGTCTTCTGTACGATTAGCAGTATAAAACCTTCAATAGAGACTATTAAAGACTTTTGATAGAAGCCCTATGAAGTCCTTAGACCTAGCATTGAAGACCTTTAACAGCCTTCCATGGCTCTAGAAGCTCTTTAATGACCCTCGATAGACTTCCATTAATTAACTTTGTTCGCAGCTTGGTAATGTCTATCTATCGAAAGCCTTCAATCCTTCAAAAGCCTTCAATTGAAACCATGTGCGGTATTCTGTTGAAGGTTTTTGGGCCCATTGAAGAGCTTTTATAAAATTGTTTAGCAGGCTGTTAACGAGATCCAATGTAGATCCTCTTCTGAAGCCCATAAAAATTCTGTAGAAAATTCTTGGATTACTTCAAAAAAATAACCCCTTGAAGACCTCCTATTTAAGTCATTTAAATTATTTTTCTTGAGCCCTTTCAAAGGTTCATAAGTAAAGCACTTTGAAAATCTTCCATTGGAAATTGTAACCCTTTTAAAATCTCGTTAAAAAATTTCTAAAAGATTTCTATTGAAAATAGGCAGTTGAAAGCAGCATTTCCCATTCGAAGTATTTTTTTTTTTTTTTCTTTTTTTGAAAATCAATTTTTCTCAATCCTCCACTTACCTATTGTCTTAGTCCATTGTGCTGTAGGCCGCCAGTCGGGATAGTGTTTGGGAAACAATTCCCTAGTCCAATAGGTGTGCAGGACAACTTTGTAGATTGCCAAACGATCTACGGTGCAATCGCTGACCGGAGCTGGTTGGGTGGGGGCTGAGCCCAACGCCGGAGTTGATGGCGGTGCCGAGTTAATATCCCGGTTATTGTTGTTGTTATTGTTATTCGGCGAGGTATAATATAAGTTACGTGTATTCACGGCCGATTGATAATATGGCACTTCACGTTGTTGCTGCTGTTGGCTTTGGTTCACTTGCGGCAATTGATTTTCAATGGTGTACGAATAAATGGAAGGACTCGAAACATAACCACCATTGGCGGTGAAATAATTGCCGCCATCGAGGGCAGAGGGAGCCGCCAGCACCCAGCAGGGTAGGAGGGCAATGAGAAAGAGAAGTAATTGCATTGTGGACATTTTCAGGGCGGGAGGTTTTTTCATGACGTGTTTTTTTTTTTAAAAAAGGAGAGAACAAAAAATAATTTGGAAAATTGAAAGGGAGGATTTTCCTAGAGCAGGGGGTCTTCAAAACTTCTTCCAAAGGAATTTATTGAGTTGCTGTTGCTTGTAAATTTTACTCAATTTCAATTTTGTGATTTGTAGCTTTTCCTCGAATTTCCCTAGGTTTTTTTCTTTAAATTTATTTTTTTCACGTTCTGTTTTAAATCGATTTATGTTTTACAACTTCTTCTTTACGTTTACATTTTCCGTTTTAAATGGCCCGTTCTGCGTTCTGCCTTGTAAAGTTACAAATTTAAATGTCACTTGTTTTTTTTTTTTTTTTTGGTTTATGTTGTTGTTGCTCTTTTTTTACGTGTTGCCGGTTTCTACGCACTCCCTGTCAATCTGGCTAATGACAGCCATTAACATTTGTTTATTTTTGTTATCCCGATTTTTTCTTTCGGTTCACCTTATCACCTCGCAAGGTGTTTGATGTACAACAAACGTCGTGGTTGTTGTTTTTGTTGTTGTTAAGTTAAAATTCGTTAACACTTTAAGATTGAACAATTGATTAATTTTTTTTTAATTTCGAATTTTTAAATTTATTTTTTTTTTTTTTTTATTTGAAAATTTTTCGTTTAATTTTTCTTTTCGTTTCAAAAATTTTATTTTTCAATTTTTTTGACTTCGTTTTCGTGTTTTTCTTTTTTTTTCTGATTGAAAATTTTAATTCCTTGTATTTTTATTTAGTTTTTTCTTCAAAATAGAAAAATTCGCTTTTAAGAGAGACCTCAAAACATCCGTTTCCAGACCGTCCGCATCCGTTAAAGTTTCGTTTCATACTGAATACGAAACATTTTCATCTTTCACTATTTTCCCTTCGAAAAGGCTTCTGCTGCTATACAATTTAACCCGGTAGATGGCTGTGTGTGCCGGTATCCATGTGTGTATGTGTGAGAGTGTGTGTGCGTGGCACCCACAAACACTCTCCGTGCGTGTGTTTGATCCATTGTGGGACGAGAATTGGGGGGGCAACACAATATTTATGTTTCAATTTCATTTTTCGAACATACTCTCTTTCTCACTCTCTCTCTCTTTCTCATTCTCTGGACTCTCAGCTCTCATTGCTTTGAACAAAAAATTCCCCCATTGTCCAATGGAAAATAACGGGAAATAAATGTGTGTTGCTTGGTATTTGGTTTGTTTGTTATTTATTTATGGTCTCTCTCTCTCTCTCCTCTCACTCTCATTTATCCCTCTCAGCAACATCATAACTCAGAGTAAGTTCTTTGTCTGTGTATTTTATAACACTAACCGCCTGTTGCCTTGTTTCTCAACATTGTTATTAAACTGTTGTTATTTTGTGTGTGTGTCTATGTGTGGTGGTTGCTGTTGTTATTATCCTGTCCTATCTCATTTTAGTCCTTATTACTATGTCTGTGTGTGTGTCTGCGTGACTGCAAAAACAGTAACAAAGGGTAATTACATTATGAATATTTGAGTTTGTCATTATAAACTGTCATCATTATAGGTTTCAGAGATTAGATTTCATTCCTCAGTGTCAACATAGGTCAGGTCGTCCTTATCGCCTGGCTATGGCATTACGGCATGAACTTTCTCTGCTCGACGTGGTTTTTCTTGGCTGTTTTTTTTTTTCTGTTTGTTTGTTAGACTAAGGCTTAGTTGCTTTGGGTTTGAAAATGGGTTAGACATGAATTTAGGTCACAGGATAATATTTAATCGGAATTTAAAGAACTATGACTTCTTTAAGAGGAAGAGGAAAGATTTTTTCTATAAAAAACAACAGAAATCATTTTAAGGTTTTTTTATCAGAGAAAAAAAAAAACAAAAAAGAAAACTAAATCAAGCTGATCAACAAACGAGGATTTAAACAAAAATCAAGGATGAGCCGAGAATTAAATTAATAAAGATTTTTTTTATTTATTATTATTATTATTATTATTATTATTATTATTATTATTATTATTATTATTATTATTATTATTATTATTATTATTATTATTATTATTATTATTTTGTTATTATTATTATTATTATTATTATTATTATTATTATTATTATTATTATTATTATTATTATTATTATTATTATTATTATTATTATTATTATTATTATTATTATTATTATTATTATTATTATTATTATTATTATTATTATTATTATTATTATTATTATTATTATTATTATTATTATTATTATTATTATTATTATTATTATTATTATTATTATTATTATTATTATTATTATTATTATTATTATTATTATTATTATTATTATTATTATTATTATTATTATTATTATTATTATTTATTTATTTTTTTTTATTTTTTTTTTTGGAAAAATTAATTTGAAAAAGACAAATAAATCCGGATTTAAAAAAAAATACTTGGATTTCTAAACAATATTTTCTAAGCAACCAGACGAGAACCCACAATACTTATTTTTATGATGCCCAACAAAAGTGGATTTACATTTTTTTTTTTTTTTGAAGGAGCAACAAACGTTGTCTTTTAAATAAATATTTCGAAGAACCACGATCCGTAAATTTTTTAAAAAATATGTATTTTTTTAATAGGCAAACAAACGTCAATTTTAGAAGAATAGAGCTTCTAAATTGGACATTTTAAAGGATATGGCTGGATGGACGTTTAAAAAACATATTTCCAGGATTTATTGAATTTTAAGGACATTCTTTAAAAAACGTTTTAAGGACCTATCGACCAGGAAATATGGCATTTTTATACCCTACACCACAAGGTGGTCCGAGTATTATGTCTTTGTGCATTTGTTTGTTACAGGCAAAAGGAAACGAGATAGACCGATAGTTCTTTTTGATGATCTGCATAGAATCACATTCTGAGTCGATTTATGCATGTCAGTCCGTCTGTCCATGTATTTTTGTAAACAAAATGCAGGTCGCATTTATTATCCGATTGAGACGAAATTTTCCAAACAACATTTGTTTGGCCCAAGGACGAACCCTATTGAAATTGGAGATAATCGGTCAAAATTTACATAAAGCTCCTATATATATCTTCGTCCGATTTGCTTTTTATTGTGCACCACACATGTAATATCAGATCGAATAATATGGAATTTTGCACATACAACCAAATTAGGCCTGAACAGAAGTATGCCAAATTTGATCGAAATCGGTTCAGATATAGCTATAGCTTCCATATATATTGTTCATCCGATTTTTTATTTTTGTCCTCCGCAGCCGTAATATGCACTCTGCAACAACAATATGTGGGGAAATATATCAAATAAAGCTCAGAAATACCTTTGCTAAATTTTATCGAGATCGGTTCAGATTTGGATATAGCTCCCATATATAACTTCGTCCGATTTACTATTTTATTGTGCACCAAACGTCTAATATTTGTCCAAATGGAATGGAATTTGGCACTTACGACGGAATTGAGTCTAGAAACTAGTATGTCAAATTTGGTGAAGATCGGTTCAGATATAGCTATAGCTTCCATATATATTGTTCATCCGATTTGTTATATTTGTTACCCACAGCCATAATATGCACTCTGTAAAAACAATATTTGGGGAAATATATCAAATAAAGCTCAAAAATACATTGGCCAAATTTTATCAAGATCGGTTCCTACTTGGATATAGCTCCCATATATATTTTTATCCAATTTCAAATCAATTGTGCACCAAATGGGCAATACAAGTCTGAATTAAAATGATACAAATGATTCGGGATATTAAGTCCTTTGAACTGTAAATTATAATTATGATCATGATTGAATTGAATTCTCCCATAAAAACTTTTAATTATTAAGTGGAGCTCAACTAAATTAGCAAAGTGGTGTAGGGTATCATAAAATCGGCCCCGCCCGATTTTAGGACTTTCTTTACTGGTTTAATATAGTAATAGGTCTTCGTATAGACCCTAATATAACGGCTACATTCGGTATTTTTAAAATTTTTTTTAATTTATTTATTTATTTATTTATTTATTTTTTTTTTTTTTTTTTGTTGAAAATTGCCAAATTTGGTGGATGGTATTCAAAATTCGGACCGGCCGAACTTCCAGCTTTTTTACCGGTTTTTAATAAAATATAATAAAAAAACTGATTTTATTATTATTTTATTTATTTATTTATTTATTTATTTTTTTTTGAATATTGCAAAGGTTGCCTATGCAGGTCCATGTCGTCGTATAGACCCTAATATATGGCTACATTCGGTATTTTTAAGATTTTAACAAAATTTTTGACGTTTTTTTTTTTTTTTTTTTTTTTTTTTTTTTTTTTTTTTTTTTTTGAAAATTGCCAAATTTGTATCAAATGGTGGAGGGTATTCGAAATTCGGCCCGGCCGAACTTACAGCTTTTTTCCTTGTTTTTAATAAAATTATGATATCTAATATATAGAGAAAATTGTATTACTCCTTTGAGTTATAATTAAATAATGAAATTCGAAACTCTTAATTTTCAAAAATTGATGCAATCACAAAATACGGGCAGCAACAACAACAATTAATTAAATTGGAAAATAAATTAAATTATTTCAATACAAATTGCAATGTTAATCACCTGCACTTGCACACATACATGCCTGAATAGAGATTGAGGGAAATGTTTGAAGTTGCAAGGGGTATAAGGTATGACGCTCTAGTGGAAAGTAGTGAATGAAAACTTAATGATGAGTTTGTTCCATTTCTTTGTAAATTCCCAACAACTTGGTCTTTATCTTGTCCACAATTTAACAACAAATTTTCTGTAATACCCCCTCTCCACTCTAATTTCCCCTCCCTCCTAGCTACAATCAATGTTTTAATATCATTGAGTAAATAATTGCTTTCTTCAAACACTGCGTGAAATGATTCGAGTGCGTGAGAGAGCGTGTGTGTGTGTGTCCATTTGTTTGTTCAAATGTGTCAATATGACAAACATAAATATCATATTTATCTATCTGTAAATATTAATCGGACCGACTGACCGACTGCCAGACAGAATTATTGGACAAATAGATAGAAGACCATGTAAATAAGTATTTAAATACAAATATCGAAATGTGTAAACAAAGAATAAACAACAACAAAATGTGAACACACTTGGCTTTGTGTGTGTGTGTGTGTTTTGGGGGAGCTAAGAATAAACAGAACGCTTGAATCGAACAGCAAACGGTATATGGGTCACTGCATGGCAAAATAAAAGATGCAATATTATATGTCGAACTTTTTTAAACATATTTAAGTCTCTGAAGCCCTTGGAAGAATTCTTTCAAAAATCCACCCTTATTGTTCTAGAAGTCCTTGGAAAAAAAATCTTTAAAAAAAAACAGACTTACTGACCCTAAAGTATTTGTAAAAAATCTTGGAAAAATCTATAAAAAAATCTCTATCTCTATCTATAAACGCTCTATCCATGGAAAAAAATTAAAAATTCCATGGCCTTTAAGCCCCACATTTTCCTAGAAGTCCTTGGGAAAAAAACCATTTACAAATATTGAGGCTAAAGTAGTTATAAAAATTCCTGAAAAAAATCCATAAATAATCCAAGCTTAGTCCACGGAAAAAATCTTAAAAGTTCTACGCATATGGCCTCTTAAACCCCACATATGGTCCAAAATCCACTCTAATGATCATAGAAGCCCTGAAAGTTTCCTTAAAAAATCTTTTCTAATGGTCCTCAAAGTATTTGTAATAAATATTTAAAAATCGACCTTAAAAGTCCTTGAAATAAAATATTTGAAGGGAATCGTTTATGACCCGTGAAATCCCTGGAAGAAATCATTTAAAAAATCACACCAATTGTCCTAGGAGTTCTTGGAAAGAAATATCTTAAAAATCCAATCTAATTCACCCACGT